AATGTGGCCATCTAGCCATTTCCTTTTCCAGCTAGAGGTCCACTCATCACATCCCTCTCTCCAGTTTAGAGACAAGGAAGTTTTGTGAGACAGTGTCATGTTTTGCACAAGTCCTCTTGTGCAAAGTTGCTCTTTTCTTATCCACCACTGCTGTAACTCTGTTGTTGGCCATTAAATCTGTCAGGCATGATTTGGCTTTAATGAAGCCATCTACTTCATAATCTTACTGGGAACCAAGCTGTGACTTCTAGACTTATAGTTCCCTGCATCTTTCTTATGTCCCTTTTTACAAAAGGGCAGGCTATATTTCGCCTTTCCAAGAAAAGCTTTAGCTGTCACAGTTGTATAGACTTGAGCTGCTTAGAAAACCTCTTTTCCTCCCAGGCTACATGTTACTTCCACCCTCTATAGCATTTCTTTTAGTGTTTGAGTTCATCCAGTAGTTCCTGGTTCATCTAATGCTATTCTGACATTTTTGCTTGACTTCCTTTTTGTTGGGATAATCACTCCTGAGCTTGGAGAAGGTGATCCTTTAATATCAACCAGCTTTCTTGCATCTCTCTTGTCTCCAGGGCTTTATCCCATGATACTATATGAGGCAGATCCCTGAGTATTGTCTATCTTTTTTGATTCATCTTTATTTTCTGGTTTTGCAACCAAATTATTCTTGCCAACATACTTTTAGATTTGTGTGTATCTGAAAGACACTGCCTCTTAGAGACATCTGCTTTTACAAGATATGCAGATAAGCTTTGAAACTTGACAGTGCACCTTAACATTTGCTTAGCAGTATGAAGGCACTGGTTAAGGCTACTTTTTCCCTTTTAGTATTCCACTTTGAATAATTGAAAACATAAACATAACACCTTACTTATTACAATGCATTGTTAGTGAAGAATCATGGTAGAAGGAATACTTTTTACACTTCATGCTTGACTCATTAAAGCCTGGTGCAGAAGCACAGTTGCATCTCAGTTCTTGATTCTCTAAAGCTCTTGGTATCTGTGACAAGAGCAAGATTTGGGAAAGAATGATTTTCTAGAGTCTCACAGTGATGTGGATGGAATGGGACCTCCAAAGGCCTTAATCCTACCTTTCAGTCAGATTATAGACAACTTTAAACAGTTACTCAAAGAATTGTCCATTGTAAATTAAAAAAAAAAAATCAAATGGAGCAAATTCTCTGTTCTTTGCTGTTCTGTTTGACAGTCCTCACTGTGTATTTGCTTCCTTAATATGTAACTAAGCTTTAAACATACTACATTCTCTGTCTTTTGCCTTTTTCCCTGTTACCTGTGTAACTCTGAAGAGGATTCTGGCTTCATCTTCAGTATACTGTGGCCTTAAGCTGTTAAAGATACGTTTATAATTTCTTTAACATATGCCATTAATTTCTGTTTGTGAAGTATCTGGTAATGTGCACAGTTTAAGTTGGAATTTGGGCATATGGTGGGATTCTTTGTGGCTGTCTTGTGCAGGGCCAGGAGTTGGACTCGATGATCTTTGTAGGTCCCTTCCACTTCCGCATATTCTATGATTCTGTGACTGTATGGTTATGCCTCTTACATGTCATGTCCTTGAATCAACTCTGAGTTGCCTCCTAGTCCATTTTTTTGATGGATGCACACTTGGTTCAAAGTGTAATAAGGCCTTTTTAACAATACAGGAGCAGCTAAGTGCCTTTTCAAATGATCCTTGATTTGTTATATAATGGTAAAACTTCTGCTTCTTTTAATTTCTGCAGAACTCTTAAAACATCAGAACCAATTTCTGAAACTTTGATTTATAATTTGATTCAGTTGCCTTGTCTGCTGGTTCTGTAAGTTGCACTGGATTTGTGTACTGATAAATTGAGGTCCTTTTTATTCAGAAGATATTCCACATACCTGTGGAAACTTGCCTATTTGTAACATTTTTCTGATTACAGGCAGCAAATGTGTTTGTGTGCCATGAGAACTATTAGTCTTTGTGGATAGTAGTGCCAGTGAGGTCTGTCTGATAATTACCTTGCCTCTCCTCTGATTCATGTCAGTAGGAAAGTGGTACGTTGGGGTTTTTTATAAGAGATGTAGACCTACTACTTGCCATTTTATGCTGTTAGCTTATATTTCTATTTTTCAAATGAGAGGTCAGCTGCCTACAAAAAGCATTGTTTTGCCTTAGCCTTTGGCCCTAATACGTTGTTAGCTAGAGCACAGCTACCAGACTTGCTCTTGTTACTGTTGTGCTGAAACAACAGTCAGATTGCACAGAATTTTTTCTTTACATTAACTTTATCTTCTGTTTTCTGAAGTTTTGTTTGCTCTATTGAAGATTGTTTGCCTGCTCTTTTCAAAGCAAATCCTAACAGTTAGAATATTAAATTTCTGAAGTATTTAACTTCAGGGTTTTATTGATGGGGGATGTGATATAGGAACAAAATTGGACCAAAGTTTTTGTGCCTTCAGTAGTTTTATATGTAGGGTTTTTCATATCTCTAGGTGTCTTAAGTATAATAAATACATTTTTCCCCTCTGGAAAATGTATATTTATATTGTGAAAAATTAATATTGTCTACTGACCATACAAGAAGTGAACTGCAGCTGTTTCAATACAGATTTAATTATTCTACTGTCTTTCCCATTACACTTATGTTTTTTTTTTTGTTTGTTTTGTTTGGCTTTTTTTTTTGTTGTTGTTGTTTTTGTACTGCAGTATGTAGGAATCCAAGCATAACTTGTGTTATTTCCTGCTTCAGATAATAATGATATGTTGTGCTTGGAGCAGTCTCAAAGAAATTAAATGCTTACATAATTGAAGGTCCTTGATAAGTGAAGAAAGCTTTTACTTTAGCAGATTAATGTCATCACTGTAAGCAGTTTTTCACTTCTTGGAAACTGTGCTTTATTTATGAGTGGGAAGCTACCACACATAAACTTGATTTGAAGCACTTTCCAATTCTTTTTGAATAGGTTACCCACTTTCTGCAGGAGTTCACCATAGAACTGCAGCTGCACAAGATGAAAGTTGCTAACCAAGTAGATTCTTGCATCAGAATGTCACTTCAGTCTCTGACCAAAGACTGTTCTGGTTTTACTGAGCTACATGAAGACCTGTTTTCTCTCACACTCCTTTCTGAGGGGAAGACCCGATGCAAAGTAGCCTCTATTTGAGACTGTTACTGCTGGTGGAAACAGTGGAAAATGGAAATAGTAATGTGAACCAAATGGTGTGAGGGAAGGCAAAAAGTTAATATATTGCTCTTAGTACTGTACTCAAGACACAGTAAACATCTCTAAGAATTGCTGTCATTCCCTCATTTCACATGATCTGTTCATAAAAATTCCCTTTCAGTTTATAAAAATGTTCATCTAACAAAAGAAAATACTGTAAATATTTGTAACATCATGTTTTGGTAGGTTTTTTTTTGTTTTGTTTTGTTTTTTTAAATCTGGCAAAAGAGTGTTTGGGGAAACAATGGAAATGTAAAATGTTTTTATATAAAAAGATTGTCTGTATATTTTAATAAGCAAAAGCTTTCATTTGTAAAGCATCTTGTGGCATTGCATGAAAAGTATTTTATATCTGTGGAGATGACTTAAAACTGAAAAAAGACGTATTAAAGAAACCTATTTTGTGACTGTGTAGTGCATGGTGAACTTGATTTTGTTCGTGCTGTAATATATTCTGGTTTTTTAGGTTAGTGTGTTTTCTGATTACATGATATCTATACCTAATTAATTTCCTAACTCTAGTTGTTGTAGCATGTCTTTTAATAAATGTAATTATGGCTGTACTCTCTTAAATTTTCCTGTTGTTGTCTATTACTTTGGGGGCTTTTTGGTCTTACAATTGTGCAGCTAATAACATCTAATTTTCTGGTGTTTTTTCTTTCAGCATACATGGGTATCTAAACAAAAGCTTTTCATATCAGGAGCATTTTAAGAGGATTAATGCACATCTTCAGCAATATGTGAAGGTCAGCAGCACCTAAAGTTTTTCCTGAGAGGTGCAGAAATTCTTATTTTCAGTAGTATGGCAATTTATTCTACAACTCTAAACCAGTACAGTAGTTGATGACTATTTTGTTATTTGGGACAGGGATGAGAGGCTTCAGTGATGAGAAATTTGGGGCTTATCATTGAGAATTCCTTTATCTTTGACCATGCTGTACTCCTTTCTAGTCCTAGGATTGAAGTTCATATCCTTTGCACAAAGATTTAAAAAAATGTAAATAGCAGCTTAAAAAGATGGTCTGCTTTCAGCTTCCTGTTTCTCAACTGTCTTGTTGATTGCTTTACTTTCATACTCCTTTGGTTGCCCTTCTCGTGTTGCACAACACTAATTTAGACCCTCTTATTCTTGCATGCAAAATTCAGAATTGATGGTAAACAGATAACAGTCTAAGGCCATAGATACAAATATGAGGGGAGTGCAGCGCCTCTTTCTGAAGTAAAATTTTCAACCAGTCTGGCAAGGATTTAATTGTCTGCCACTCAATAAATTATGCAATTGCCAGTCTCTGAGTGTAGCTGCTTTTGTGGGGATTAAAATCTGACTCGGTGTAGACTGAATTGCAGGTTTCAGCAAATTATTCTCCAAAGGCTGGAAGTCCCCATGTGTAACTCTTGATTTTGTCCTTGATACTTAAATATTCGATGAGCATTCTGGGTAAAATGCTAGCTTTTGGTGGCCATAATCTGGCTTCTTATTTTTTGACCAAGTCTGCCTGAGAATGTGTGACGAAGTGAAATTCCTGACTGTTGTCTTTTCCCATTAGTCCTTAACCAAAAAGTAAATCCCATCTTGAATTCTCGTCTCCTGTTGTTAACCCTGCAATACAATCACAGTAATTTTTTTCCTCTAGCAGTTTATATGTGTCCATCTTAGAAAATTAAAAATTAAATTAACAACTTTTGAATAGCACATATATAAAATTTTTGGTACCAGAATTTGTTCTGTTACTTGCAAGCTGAAAGAGAAAGGGCAGTAACTGGTTGATTTGCCAGCATCTAATTTCTCGTATGGTTTGGATCAGTCCCAAAAGATTTCTTTATAGCCCCGGGGCTCACCCATTTACAGAGGTGGAAAGAAGATTATTGTATATTTTGAAAATACAATAAAAATTCCCACTTGTGTTTTCTTAACTGTGCTGAGATATTTGAACTTGAGTTCTTCGTCATGTAGCAGGTGAGTACAAAGATGTCTAAAAAAATATAATGAAAGCAGAAGTTGTGGGAGAGTATGTAGGTGAGAGAAGGTGTGGGGGGTAGAGGCAAGAGAGAAGGAGAGACCTCAGAAAAGTGAGTCATCCCAGAGACCATTTCCAGACGGATGCCTTTGCTGTTGAACATTAATTCAGATGCTGCTAAAAACCAGAGAGAAACAGTCCAGTGACAATGAGAACAAATGTCTTTAAGGAGTGCTAAGGTAGCAGTATGAGTTGTCCGGCTCCAAAAAAGCTCTTACAATGAGAGTAATATTTTAATCTCAAGTTAGTGATCATTCTTATTCCATAGTATTTGCTACTTAGTCTAAGACAGTTCAGCAGGGTAACATTTTTAGGTCCTGTGTTTTATTTACAACCTACTTCAAGTACAGCTGCTCTGTCCTTTTGTGAGAATCAGAGCTTTTAATGGAAGTAAAGCATACCTTCTGTAATTCCTCCATTAAATCTACTATGTAAAGTGTTTTTCTAGCTGTGCAGCTTAGGGACATACAAGAAGGCTGGAGAGGGATTTTTCACAAGAGCAGTAAGACACGAGCAAATGGCCTCAAGATTAATGAGAGTACATTCAGATTAGATACTAGGAAGAATACTGTGGGTGTGGTGAGACACTGGAACAGGCTGGCTAGAGAAGTTGTGGACTTCCCATCCGTGGAAGTGTTCAAGGCCTGGTTGGATGGGCTTTTGAACAACTTGGTCTGGTGGAAGGTGCTGTTGCCCATGGCCAGCAGGTCAAATTATATGATCTTTAAGGTTGCTTCCAAGCAAGACTGTTTCTCTTGTATGTGCATATGGCTTTTACAATGCAGGATCTGTAGGATTTTTATTGAGGGTTTTCTGTGTTTCCTTTTCCCCTCCAGAGCCCATCTTGGTCTGCAAAGCCATATTGCTCAATGCTTAGAAACTTCTTTTAAGGGAGGGTGGACTGAAGTATGTTGCATAATATTGCAGGCTTGCAGCTCTGTGGTTGAATACAGGTTCTATTTCTACCCTGCCGTGGTGCTGCCTAGCACATACCTAGAGAATATATTCGGTAAGTATCATTGCCTGTAAAAAAAAATTGAAACTCCTTTTAAAACAAATATGATCTCAACACAAAAAAAATCCAAAGGCTAAAGAAATTAAGATAATTGCTGTTCAGTACTATGAATTCTGTTGATGATCTAGGAAGACCTGTCTGTAGCTCCATGGTCTGTTTAGTCAGCAGTGTGGGTGGGTGCTGGAAAGAAGGATTGTGGGTTCTTTTCTAATTAAATACTTCTGACAAAAACCTGAAGTTGTTAGGTTTAGTTCTTACCAAAAAACATGGCAATGTTACTGAAACAGTAACGCTGTTGCTGTTTCATTTCTTTCAAAGAAAAACACTGAATGTGTTTTTCAACATTACAGACCTTCTCTCTTTCTTTCCTTTTCTTTCCTCTTCCAGATCTCTCCTATGGCCAAATTATCCAAAAGCAGTGTGAGATTTAATAGCAGCAATACAGTACCTTCAGCAAAATGTCATTTCTGTATGTGCAGAATTCAACTCATCTGGTCATCAAATTTGAAGTATCTTGGGAATTGTGTAACTAAGGTTCCCCATTGTGCAAAGCTCTGAAAGTAGTTTTTCTATTTAAGGTCACAATAAAGTTCTAAAAATAGTTTGCTACCAAAGTAGTCTCTTCTATCACATCTTTAACTGAAAGTGGTTTCTATACTTTTCTTCATATGTGATGTTTGGTTGGATGATAAGCTCTTTTCCTTTTTGTGTGTATGTTCTCATTATGATTCAACAGCTTAAAATTCTGTCTTGCTGAGGCTTTAATTATCTTTTCAAAAGCATATAGGGTTTATACTGTTGCTGTTTGTGTTTCAACAAGTTTATCCTCTTTCACAGAGCCTTCACTAGTCTATCAGATACTGAACCAGTTGAAGATTTTTGATAGCAGACCTCTCCCAATCAACTCGGTCATTGTTGAGTGTGTTTGCTTCAACAATAAATGACTGTGCATTATGCTCTTTGAACATTAGATCTTGTTGATTCAACTGCAGAGACATGAAGGTTAATAAACAAAGCCACACTTCTTGATGCTAAGAATTATTATGCTATAAATGTCTTTTTCTGTTTTTCTGCACTGGTTTGGCACTGCTGGTTACAACCTGCCTGACACAAGATGGCCTGAGTTAATTTCTCCTTCAAGGCATGCTATATGTGCTTGTAAGATTCCCAAAGAACTTACTGGAACGCTTTGTGGAGCTCTTTACTCACCAGTCAGTGCAGAACTGTGCTACTTGTGTGAACAGTTTTTGTTTAAGGAAGTTGTTCAATCACTGCGTACCTCTAGCTTTTACACAAACTGCTAATTCTGCAGGGCTTAGATTCTCCCAGTTTTATATTATGGGAAGAGTGCATTTTTCATTTAGGTGTTTTGGGTTTTTTTTTAATGCATGTGATTTTAATCTAGGCCCTTCAAAAATACTTTTAGGTCATTGTTGCCGCTCATCAACAGGAAAATAGATAAGGAAGAGGTTACTTTTGAAGGGCCTGACCATAAGATGTTAGCAGCAGCATCCTGTCTTGCCTGGGATATCTTGCTCACTTACTGTCTCATGAAATCTAACAAGAAAATTGCCGATAACTTTGCAGATCAGTTGCCTGTAAACACTGGGCTTGATTAAGATGCTGAATGTAACTTTGGCAATCCTGCTAACTAATCTTGATTTTGTCCCTTTCAAAGACTGGGATCCAGTCTAAACAACCACACCCTAAACTGACATACACATAATTTCTTACTCTCCAAATGATGGGGCTGTACCTTCAGCCAAAGTTTAAAACACCCTCTGGTGTACTTCTGATTGTGTATCAAATGGGTATAAAATAAAAAATCTGTGATTGTAATGAGACAGTGGATTCATGTAGCACATAGAAAGAAAAAAATTCTCAGCCTCATGCAGGCCTAAATGGTCAGTCATTACTTAGTTCTCACAGGCTTACATTATTTGAATGTCAAGTTTTTATGCTATATGGAAAGTTCATGAGCCAGTGATGCCTTTATGGCCAAGCAGGCCCATGGTATCCTGGGTTATGTGGGAGGGAGCATTGCCAGCAGGTTGAGGCAGATGATCTTGCCCTCTGCTCAGCCCTGGTGCAGCCTCACCTGGAATGCTGTGTCCAGTTCTGGGCTCCTCAGTACAAAAGAGACATGGAGCTCTTGGAGTGGGTCCAGTGAAGGGCAACAAAGATGATTAAAGGACTGGAGCATCACTCTTACAAGGAAGGGCTGAGAGAGTTGGGCATGTTCAGCCTTGAGAAGAGACAACTAAGAGGGGCCCCATCACTGTCTATGAATGTCTGAAGGGAGGGTGTTGAGAGGATGGAGCAAGGCTCTGCTCAGTGATGCCAAGCAATAGAACAAAAGGCAGAAACTGTTGTACAGAAGTTCCACCTGAACATAAGGAAAAATTTGTTTACAGTGTGAGTCACAGTGCACTGGAACAGGTTGCCCAAAAAGATCATGGAGTTTCCCTCAATTGAGATATTCAAGAACTATCTGAATGGAATCCTGTGCCATGTGCTCTCAGATCACCCTGCATGAGCAGGAAGGTTGGCCCAGGGTCCTCCAGTGCTCCCTTCTGTCTTTCCCATTCTGTGGTTCTGTGACTGTAAGAGAAACTTGATTTCTTGCAGGTATTATTTGAAGATAAATAGGATTGCAATTTGAAGGAAAAAGAAAATAAAAAGACTAGGTGGCCACAGAAATACTAATCTTAAGTTTTTATTACAATTTATAACAATGCAGAAATTCCATCACCCAGGGTGTATTTATCCTCTGATTGCCAGTAAATGTAGAAATAACAGAGTTACATCTAATTTAATATTCTAGGCTCAAACAGCAGGGCTTGTGCTTGTTTTGTAACAAAACAAAAGCACTCTTTTTTTATGCCAATGTATTAATAATTTTAGGAATCTAAAATCCAACTCATTCTGCTAGCTTTCTATTCCGAGGGTCTAAATATACAGTAATTTAAGGTACTTTCTAATTGAGATAAAAACAGCTACTTTAAACTTGATGATCAGCATGGAAAAGTTTAATTGCTTACACACCAACTCAGAGATAAAGGTTGAGGCATTTACTATGAAAGGTTTGGTTACTAGATTCTCTTTTCTTTCCCACTACACAGTGTTGATGCAAAACTGAGATTACCTGGTGACAAAATACAATTGGTCCATGGAGAAAGAAGCCATGGCAAAAGAATCCCCAGCTGCCCGAGCAGCTGCAGAATGGTTTGGTTTATTTTCTCTGGTCACAGAACCACAGAATGATTGGGGTTGGAGGGACCTCTGGATATGATCTGGTACAACTTCCCTGCTAAAGCAGGTTCACAGGAACATATTCAGGCAGGATGGCCAGAAACCAGCCATGACATAAATAAGGAATTTATCTTCATAGATAATATAATTTGACAAGTTGTCATATTTCTCATCTAATATTTCTAGACCCACTTTAAGACTCATCTTGCCCATAAATATAGCAAAGCTGATGGTGAGAGAAGGATAACACAAATATAATTGTGTAGTCTGTGGGATTTGGGTTTTTCCTCTACCTATCAAAGATATTGTCATTAATTTTTGCCTTATTGACAAGCTGTTATTAAGTTCTATGCAGCTTCAATAGAAAGGCCAACACCCCTGTGGGTGAGCTTGAGGAGCCTGGTAGAGAAGAAAGCATGAATCTTGTTGCCAAGTTCTTTCTCTTCAGATTTTAGCAGATATTTCAGGATCTGAAAGGAAAATATGTCTTTTCATCTACTTGGAGCTGAAAAAATCACAACATTACTTTTTATTTATTTCATTATTATTTTTAAAATGTATGAAGGAAGTGCTGTTACTGTTCCTTTCTGAACTTTTCCTTTGTGCCTCTCTCTCCTCCTAACTACAGTCTTCAGTCAGCACAACCCTCAAAACAATGACACAGCATGAAACAATCAGAAAACGATAGCTATCAGCACTACTCTTGGATGACATTCCAAGATCTGACAACACCAGGACATCCCCCTATAAACCAATATACACTAAGTCCTTGTGGCTTAAAAACTTCTAAAAACTGGGGCAAGGTGCTGTGGCATGAAAGCTTCTACCAGAGGCTATGTTGCACCATACATACTTATGTAGGAAAACTGTCCCAGTTACACATTTAAGTGGGAGGGAGAAGTGGAGAGGGAGAGAGGGGTTATCTTATCAAAGCTCCCAGTGGGTTTGTGGCAAAGCCTAGTTTGGTCTCCTATGCTAAAACCCAGAGATAGCAGCCCTTTTGCTCTGGAGAGCTGCTTTTCTGATTAGCAGTAACTGTCAGAAGGCTTTATCACCTACTGTGCCCTTGTTATGAGATGTACAGGGCATGCTCTGATATATGTTACATCCAAGGCCTATCCTCTAGGCAAATTGTTCATTCAGTTGTAACATTCAATATTTCAGGTTCAAATTCAGGTATCCAATACTTTTGCAGAAATCTCATTTACATTTTTCAACTCTGCTAGGAGTTGAGACAGTGGTGTAGGCACCCTGAGAGTACAGACAGAAATACTGCAAACAACTTGAGTGATAATATTTCCTTTTAAAAAAAAATCAAACAAGATACTGCTTTACTTCTGCACAGTATCTACTGAAGCATTTCCAATAGAAACTGAAGAGGGTCAGCCAATCTTTTCAGTTATTTCTGAATATTTTGAGTTAATTTTCAACAATTGATGTTTTTTATTCTGGGAGCTAAGTGGGTAACCAAAAACCAGTTATTAATTTGAATAATTTTAAAGAAGCAAGAGAGACAGAATTCAGATGGAAGGAATCTTCCATCAAGATGTAGTTACCCTTTTCATTGCCATTTGGAAAGAAGTACTGGATAGAAAGCTGTTCAAGAATGCAACTGCACAATGAATAGCTGAGTGATCTGTTAACAAGGATGAAATAAATATATTCACTCTGGCTGAAGATGTTTGCTCTTTTTAAAAATGTGTTTGCTGAAAGAACTATTAGTATAAAATATTTTGTCTTCATGTGTCAAAATAAGCAGTGTAATCTATGCCAGAAATCCTTAGGAGAAAAAATAAAGATATTTAGATGACATGGTGATATTCATTGTCTGCGAAGGAGACAGAACAAATACTGATTGCTGAGGAGATGTTTGATCCAGCTTGCCCTTCTGATTTTCAATTATCTGCATTTACACACCTGCAAGCTAAAATTGCACAGGAAACTTCCAAGCATCTCTGGATGAATTGAATTACTTTGGCCATCAAAACTCTTCTCTTTTCACAAAGAAGAGCAAATACTGGTACATACATCTTCTGGGTAATTTAACGTTAGGGATGAAGGAAACACTGTAATTACAAACTAGGCTTCCTTTAGGCTTGACAAGGAAAAGATTAAAATTTTTATCCTATCCACACCAGAAAATATAGGTATATATTAGTCTGTGTTTTCATTAGAGAGATTTTTATGTAAAACAAGTAAGATGTGCTGAAGATGTTAAGGATGAACATGTTGGGACACTAGTCTGTCTTACCCTCCTGAATCTTTAATTGTCTTTCTGTACAGTTAGCTAGGGTTTGGGCAGGTGACCTCAGGGCAGAAGTGATCTGTGATGAATCTCACTGGTGGATTCAAACCTGAAGTAGTGGAGGAGATTCTCTGGGAATGCTGTGAATTCTACATCACTGTCAGCATAAAGAGCAAGTTAGACAAGTCAGGAACCATAGAATTGTCCTTGTTGTAGTGCAGAGAACAGAACAAATAACCTCTAAACATATTTTGACACTTATTTCTTATTATCATGCATTGAATTTAAAGTAGCCTTTCTATGTAGTTTATTAATTTGGTTCTGAAGTATGTCTTAAACAGCAATTAATTGTGTGTTTGAGACACAATAGACAGGAACATAACAAGGAGGTCAATTCTAATCTAGGTACTGTAGTTTTTTCAGCTGATACACATAGTTATTACTTTCTTTAAATAATATTTCTATTAAAATTTTTAATTGGTTCTCTTTATAAATATGATGCATTTCTTCAGGCTTTGTGCCAAAAATATTTTCCTGTTTGCTGCATGAGGTGTTTATAATTATAAAAAGTTGCTTCCACTACTTTTTATGAAAGGAATAGTAGAAATTGCAGTGATTAGTAGGTCTGCTACACAGTGGGCTGCCAAGGAAGTGGAAAATCGTAATTTCCAAACCATTTTAATATGTTGTGCAAAACAATTGGTCTCTAAACGATTCCTTATAATGATAAGCTACTTAGCACCACTGAGAGTGCATGCTTTCAATTTCAGTAAGTTTAAGGGAGAAATATGCAGTAATGACATCTGTAGTGTGTTCTTCCAAAAGCAGGATTACCTGTATGCAACTGGCTGCTGCTGAAGAATCTGGTCAAGATGAATAAGCATAGCTGAAGCTGATTTCAAGTGTATACATGATTAAGTAGGCAGAACTGTAATTAAAAAACCAAAACAACAAACAAACAAAAAACCCTCAAAAAACAAAGGACTTCCTCCCCTCAAAAAAAAAAAACAACAACAAAACAAACCAACAAACAAACAAAAAAAAAGACCGAAAACGAACCAAACAAAAAACAACAAAAAACCCCCAAACAAACAAAAAACCCCAAATAAACAAAAAACAACCAAAGAAACCAACAAAAAACCAAAAAAACCAAAACCCTCAAACCTGGAAGAGAGCAGCATACAAAAATAAAGCTGATGATTCAATGAAACTGGATTTTGTGTCCCTTGAAATCAGACAGTGATAGTTTGGTGTTTGTTATAATGCAGCAGGAAAAGATCAGGTTATGTCCCTTAAATGCAATGGTGATGGAGATCTGGGCTGAATTAGCATTCAAAGGCATTTATGAAAAGCCACCATAGTATATAAGCAAAACTTTTTCAGGAATCTCATTAGAGTTATCAAATATGCCAAATTCTACTTTTGTGTTATGCTTTCCCGATTCCTCACCTTGGCACTCCTCTGTTGTGGTAATTGGGCAACTGCATTTGTAGATGAAGTTTGTGCAGCTTTCTAAAATGCAGGCTCACGGACATGAATGAGGACTCTGAGCGCCAGGGCTATTTACTTTATTTCAAGCAGCAAGGGCTGGCCGTGCGCGGCTGCACCAGCTTCGTACATCGCAGGGCTGATGCGCCAGCTTCGTGCCTGGGCTCGGGCGGCACCGAGCGCTCCCGGCTCCGTCCCGCTTGCCGGCGGCTGGCGGGAGCCGGCACAGCCCCACGTACGAACAGGCGTGTCTGTCCAGCTGCCCTTCCCGGGAATCGTAAATAATTCTACCATCCGTTTCTCCCCCGCCCCCGGGCTATGGACAGCAGCAGCCCTTATCAGCCGTGCCACCTGCCTGGCCGGGGCAGAGGCGGTGTCCCGGGGAAGGAAAGGGGTTGTGCCAGGGAAGAGAGGAAAACGAAAAAACGAAAAGGAAAACAAGAAAAAAAGGGAAGAAAAGAGAGGGTTTTGCGGGCAGTGGGGCGGGGGAGGAAAGGGGCCTCGCTGAGGCCGAGGGCGCGGCGGCGCCGATAAGGGGGAGCAGCGCCCGCCGCCCTCCGCCCGGGGCCGCTCGGGCTCTGCCCTGCCCTCGGGCTGTGCCCTGCCCTCGGGCTCTGCTCTGCCCTCGGGCTCTGCCCTGCCCTCGGCTCCCCTCCCGCCCTCCGCCCCAGGGGCGATGCGGAGGCGCCGGGGCCGTGCAGCACCGCGGGGCGCGGCGGGGCCATGAGCTCGGGGCGCGGCGGGGCCCCGG